TTATATATATTATATATTATAAAAATAAATCAATCTCTGCCACATGTATGACAGTTGAAAATATTGAAATGCTATCTCCTTGTTTTTTTATTATCAATTTGGAAATGTTTTTTAAACAAATTTATTATTAAAACAGCAAAGTAGCGCATAATGTCTCCAATAATACTCTATAAAAAGAAAACTTTCAAATCGCGCCAAAATGTATACGCACATCAAATATCTGCAGATATATTATACTATCTATATTTCTCAACAGTTTTATACTCTTCGTGAAAATACTACTTACCTGAATTGTAAATATTTCAAACACCAAGCGATTGTGGAAATTTCTTTAGTGGAAAGTTCCGAGCCAGAAACTATGCAGGACCATCGTTTGCCGCCTTTCGATCCCATCGATATCGAATTTTTTCTCTCTTTCATTAACGCCATGTCGGTTAACCACCACATAGCGCGTCTCCATCGATGATGACGGAGAATGCTGTGATTCGATGCAGCGACTTTCCACCAGCCATCACAGAGGAACATTGCCGTGCAAGCTGATGCTAAGTGAGCTTTTATAGCTGAGATACAACAGGCATGTGGGACGGCGAACTTGCGACGGGATCGAGGCGGGGCTCCATCGAATCTGTTTCGCGTCCTCGACCCGCGTGACAAGATTTTGAAAAAAAATAAAGTTAAAAGAAAGAAAGCTTGATCAATTGGATTGAAAACATGAGGTTGCGACGCAACCTCGAACCGAGTCGATAAGAGCGACCGCACCCAAGCGAGTAGGGGTGAACAATTCAAGAAGTTGATTTTACTTTCGCGACGTGATGTTTATTGGCGATTCGTTGTCGCGATTGTATTCACTCGGAGATGGAAGGGATCTCCTTGAATGGTATTGTAAATCAGTGCTACAATAAACTGCTCGGTATTTAATGCCACAGAGAAAATACAGTCGAAGGTTGTACAGAGAAGTCTGAAATGAAAAATAGTTCATATGTAACGATGTTAAAATAATCATTGCTGATATTTCTGAGATGATAAAATAGTATATATATATATATAT